AACATTTCCTTCTTTTTTTTTTAAAGAATTTTAACACCTTTCAACTACACTAAACACATTGTTATAATACATAAAAGATAAACAGAGTTTGGCTCATGCTTAAAAAAAAAAAAATTCCTCTTTTTTTTTCAGAATATATGTTATTTTCATTCGAAAGACAAATGATTAAGTATTCAAAATAAGATATACTTACTGGCAGGAGTCCTGAATACGTTAATATTAATCCAATGAACCATGGTGACCTCTTTCTGGTTGATTACAAGGTCAAGGTCATGTTGATTTGAATTATTACCTGTTTTTTTTTTATTGCAAAATCATTGTTTGTGTGTGTGTGTGGGGGGGGGGGGGGGGTGTTTTCATTGTTTTTGTGGAAATATTAATCTACAAATTTATAGATGTCCACGAACTGTTGAAATAAGTATACATTGTTTGATTGAGCTACCTTCATCCGAAAAAAGCAAATATCCACAATATAACAATTTTGAGGTTACCTGAGACTCATGGTGACCTACTGTTGTCACCTTCATCCACAAAGACCAAGTGTCCACAATATCAAAATTGATCTGATTTCAATGAAATTTTGCAGAAACCTTCCCTGGCCTACGATGAACAAAACTGTGAATTATGCAGTCACCACCCCAGATATGGTAGAATCAAATACTCTTCTTGAATGGAAGCATGTTAAGGTGCTGTACCAAAATTGTGAATTTCATGGCCCCAGGTTCTTACATTTCCCCGTTGGGAGGGGGTACTATAGTAAATATAGGAAAAATAAATGTTTGAGCATATTTTGTTTAATTTCCATTGGAAATATTTCAAACTTGGTTAAAATTATGAGTGAAGGATGATGGCATGATGATATGCCCATTTTGATCCTGACAGGTCCCCAGGGGATGATGGGCGGGGCCAAAAGGGGTCAAATTGACTTAAATTTCAAAAGTCTTCTTCTCAACACCCAGATATGGTAGAATCAAATGGTCTTCATGAATGTTAACATCTTAAGATGCTTTAATTACTGAAATAAGTCTCACATTTCTTCCTGGGAGGAATATTTTTTTAGACTTTATTGTAATTTTCATAGAAAAATTGTGTTTTTGAGCATAAGGTTGGTTATTTCCCACTGGAAATAACTTTGTAAGAATTATCGGTATAGGATGACAGTTTTGATGGTAGCATGTATTGACACTGTCTATATTCAGTGTCACAATTTCTGTTTCATGACACTGGATAACCATCCCTTAACCTTTATATTCAATATTGCTTATCTCAGGTGACCATCAAATCCGCTAGGCCTCTTGTTTCAAAAAGCTATAAAAATTTTGTCAAACACAAATATAACTTTGCAGTAGACAATAAATCAAGATGTGTGGTCATATATCCTGTTTAAAGCTGATTCTGTTTAAGGTGTTTCCAGACTACCAACGTATTCATCTCCTCATATCCTGTTACACTTTACTCGTTTCACTCTGCCCCTGAGATTTACTGTATTTGTGCTTTAACATGTCCAAGGTGTCAACATCAGGTGGCCTTGTTTTTGGAAATGCATGCATGTTTATCAGGAACTGTTAATTACTAGAGAAAAGAACAGGGAATGAGCTAAAATGACTGGACAATCAAGTCACGTTTCTTGGCAACTTTTTCAAAAGCATTACATAATTTGTTGTAGATTGGTTTATTACCAGGCATGTAATTATCACTGGTACAATATGATATACCTCCATGTCTTGATAATTTACATCTCTTCAGGGAAGAACGGTAGATTTTAGTCAGTATGCATGCTTAATATATATATATACAGTAATTTATACATATATGCTGTATATTTGATGTTTTCTACATAGCAGATTCTATTTTAAGGACTCGAGATACTAATTTTAATCTGCAAAATAACCTTGGGTCTGTATATATTAATTAGCTATTTTGATGATAATGTTAATTATGTGCTGAATTTTAACACAAATATAGAATATGGAAGCTTACCAAATAAAGTAGCTGTTAAATATAGGTAATTTTTAATCATGGTTTACACTCGGGAAATAATGTGTAATAGTTTAAATATTCTATAGTCAAATTTTGCATCTTTTGGTTCATTTCTATTGGTATGATAACAGTCAGTCTTTAGGAATCAAACAAGATAAGACAACTAGAATTCAAAAGTACGGGGGTCACTTGTCCAATCACGTGGGCTTTCTCTGGGGTTCCCTGGTTTCCTCCTTCGGTAAAATTCCCTTACGAGCTTCAATACAGGCAAGCAACAGAGAGTGATTGATATAAGCTGATAGCTTGTTTCGCAAGGTCATACTTGGAAATTTCTAGGAATCAATCAAAGTTAGATGAACAAAAGTCAAGGTCATTGGGTCAAAGTTGAACAAAAGTCAAGGTCATTGGGTCAATGGTAAAGGTCAGTTGGGTTTCTCGCAGTGGGGAAATATGTATCGTGATATTATGAAGCTTATTTGGTTGAGGTAAACTAGAAATCAACTAAAGATTTGTCAAAGTTAAGGTCATTAGGTCAAAGTTGAATGTGGCTACCATATCTACCCATGGTCAATATTGGTCATAAGAGATCCTGCATTTTCATTTCTCAGGTTTAATTTTAGATAAACAAAGAATTTCCCCAAGTTGCAGTGTCCTTTAAGTTAAGTATGCTGGGTAATTGTGTTACAATACTATAAAGTTTGTTTGTTCTGATGGTTCAAATGTTTGTGATTAAACACAAATCTTAATTTAAAAAAAAAAACAGATATGCTTTTCACTGAAGTCACATGACAAATTAAGTTATTGACTACTAAGGTTATTTCATTAGGATAATCATTTTTGGCAATTTTCTCTATTCTCTAAAATAGTGATAGATAGAACCCCTCGAAAAATAACAACCTTTTATGACGTCAGTTCATTTACAGTTTGGCAACTATCACCACCATTTACCTAGAATGTTAATATACTACATGAGAGTGTTAATCTACTACCTATATGATCTATGTTTGTTACCTTGTGACCGATAACACTCATCCTACATTTATGATGTCACTCTAATTTATACTTATGTACCTGATAGATTTTGTGTCAGATCCGTTGTTGTTAGCAGCTATTGTAGGTCTACCTTCATATTTTTACCGGTAATTTACCTGGTGACAATGACAGCATTGTTACGTTGGTACATATTGTCGAACCTGATAATCTCCAGGGTGTACGTTTTGTTCCATCTCTGATCATTAGCTGAACACTCATCAGTAGATATTGTGTTTTGACGTTACTTAGGCGGTCAGAATGGGTTTTACAACGTTTCTTTTATCATTACAACATTTATTATAATAAAATATTCAGCTGTTGTACATCATCAAAATTCCAGTGAGTACTTTAACTTACGGTTACCAGATCTGGACAGATTATGCAATTTCTAGATCTATTAAAATCTGTAGTGATCTGAACTCATGGAATTTGAAGGAAGGCAGTTAAAAATGATTGGTTGATTGTATAATGAGGGTTGTGTGCTCTGCTAGTTCTTTCTTGAAATTCCTGCTAGTTCTTTTCTCGTGTGATCAAATTGATGTCGACAAAAGCATAACAAAGGTCCCAAATTATTTTGGACTCATTTTTTCAGGGCTTACTTGCATGGGCATATAATTAAAACTAAATATGTCTTTTTACCTTTGATCAAATAAATTTAGGCATCAAGGGGTCTTATGATGTGATGTGTAAACAACATCTTTCAAATTGTAAGTGGCAATTATATTTCAACCAAATTTATAAATATATAAAAACAACAAACGGATAGGAAAACAGACTTCTAGGAAAGAAAGAAGGTTTTGTCCCTCGAGGCTGAGTGGCAGGGCCTAGGGAATGGAAATAGAGCTAAGCTGTGAATATTGTGAAAAGTATGGAGCTTGAAATGGGGCTAAGAAAGGTAAATTTCACCTGAATAGTGGGAGTGAGATGGTATGAGGTCAAGTTAGAAGATTGAAAGAAATTTAGCTTAATACAGGTAACAAAGAGATTGGGTTAGGAGAGTTTAGGAGAAGGTATATACTGTAGAGAGATTTTGAATTTGAGAGAGTTGAGGCAAGGATGTAGAAGTGAAAAGGAGAGCAATGATGTTAGGGGTTAGTAAAATAGAGACAAATACAAAAAGATAAGGTATGTGTCAGTGCATTATCAGTCTCAGAGGTCTTAAGTATGTGATGTTCATTGTGTTGGTGGACAGCTATTGTCTCTATTTACATTGGAATTAAAAGTGCAATATTTTCGTATGTCAAAGGTAGGCGTCACATGTTAAATGTAAATCAAGTGGTGAACTGCATTCTCAATGAACCCATACGATCAATAAATGAAATTAAATTTTCAACAGGTGAAAACAACATCCATGATTGTACATCTCAAACTTACTGATAAATTTCACAGTCACTTGTGTGGCACATTTGTAATGTATATAAAACGTAACATAATAGACACTTAACATGTGTTATTCTTGATCTAGTGTTCTTAAAAATGCAAATTTTATTCTTTTTCTTTGTAAGATATTTTGATCTCACATTTAATCCATAGACACATTAAACTGTTTATATTCAAACTCATGCCCATGATATGTAATGTTAAGTCAGTGTATCAGACGTTTTACTCTTTACAACAGATGTCTTGCTTTCTGATGTTGAATACAGGCTGTGATTTTGTAGTTTTCCAAAAATATACATTTTCATTTGCTCTTGATTTTGTGATTAAATCTTGCTCACATAATCTACTGATTCCATCATCCATGTTCATATTTATCTGTTCATCAATTTTAAGACCTAAAATTTCTAAATTCAGAGACAATATGAATTTAACGAAAATAAATTACCCACAAAAATTAATGATTTTAAAGTAGATTAATTATAAAATGTACAGCTAAATGCCTGTGTCTATATTTTCAGAATGGGGTAGAAGAACAAGCATCAGACTCTAAGGGAAAAAAATGACCTTTTATCCATGAAACCATAAAAGGTCAAATCAATAGAACCGGTATGGCGAAAACATCTCGTAGTAGTAAGGTTCTGCCTCAAAACATGACCATTCCAGCTTCAAATGTCAAGGAAAATGGTAAAACGTTTCCAGTTGGAAACAAAAATGGTGATGTCAGAATTACCTCCCCTTGCAACTCCAGGCCAGGGACAGCCAACTCGAGCACTCGGAAATCAGCATGGGACAGAGCTCGAGAAAAATACAAAGAGCAACAAGAACAAGTGAAACGCTCATCAAAGGTGTCACCTATCGTAGGGGATGACAGTGTGACTGGCAAGCAATACATCAGCCTTGATGCTGTTATCAGTGTGTTCAAATCAAAAAGATTCACAGATATCCAGCTGGAATGGCTTTTTCAGAGATATTTCTTCAAATTGAATCAGACTAACTTATCAATATTGATGGCACTTTTCTGTGTAACATGTGTTCTCTCGATAATTTCTTACTACATAGGTGGAGCCACATTACCTGCAAGGGGAGTTAACCTAGGTATTGCCCTTGTGACGTTTGTAGTGCTAGAGGTTGTTTGTAACCGGGGTACGTTTTTTCAGCAGCAGATGGTTGTGATATGCTATATAAATCTGGTGCTACTCAGCGAGTTTGTGGTTCTTATGTGTTTAGATACCGATCCTGCGTCTGCTACCGATTCGGCTTGGAGCACCATCATCTTCATTTACATGCTTTATACCCTTCTTCCAATCAGAATGAGGCTGGCTGTCATCAGTGGATTGGGAATGTCTGTACTACAGATTGTCTGCTCAATTGCTAAAAATTACTCCGATGTCTTTCTATGGAAACAGGTAAGCAGTGGCATTTTGATATGAATTTTACAATTTTACATGCCTGCGTAAAATAAGAAAAAACATAATACTTTCTTAATTTAGAAGAACGTACTGGTCTTTTCCTCGTGGAGAGAAAATTCCACCTGTCCTCCCCATTCTTCTGTAACCTGTCCTCAGTCTTTGCCACGTTAGGAGCTGATGTGAAAGAGCATAGAAAGCACATTTCTGCCAAGTCCTGCAATTTGATTCGAAACTGGAGTGTGTTAATCAAAAGTTCTACCAACTGAGCCAGAGAAGCATGCTGTGTCACCTCGGTGACAGAGATCATTTTTGATGCAGTATTCAAGCTCTTTTTTCAAGCCTGCTCTGTTTACATAATGCCTTGGTTTGTATATCAAGGTTGTTATTTCTGTTTGTTAGAGATATCAATGAACATTCAGATATTTTTTTTCAGTAGAGTGATATTTGAATAGGAAAATGATATATGAATATTACTTTTTACAACTTTTATATATATCATTTGGAAGGTTGCTAAAAGTGATATTTTTTCTGTAAGCAATTTTTCATTTTGAATAGAAGTTTTTTTTAGCTAATTTACCAAGATATGATTAGTGTTCAAAATTCTACACCTGTGCGATTCATCATGGCTTTAATTAACCTATTGCAAGAGGGCTTAGGTCACCGTTATCTGTTTAAGTTTCGCACAAAAGATCAAGGTCTTGCCTGTAATATTTCACGAACTTTGGTCTAACAGCACGGTCGGCCACTTTAATCAGCATTATATAATCAAATGTTGTAGTTCTTTTCTATGAAACATTCAGGGATAGTGATTATAAGATATGGCTTAAATTGATAGCTGTTGGCATCTTCTTGCAGACATTTTAATTGTTGTGGTGTCAGTGATGTACTTTGTGAATAGTTATGACCTTGTTCACACGTAACAAAAGAAATTCTTGCTTATTTAGATAAAAGAATGAATGTATAATTGATAATCTAATTAGCTTTATTTACATTCAGATCAATGTCCTGGTGTTCGTGGCCTGATCACACTGGATACTGTTGTACAATATTCAATGTTTTTATTATTTTCGTAACTTCACCGATGATGAATCGGGACAATTACTCTATTGAAAAAGTCATTGGTACTATTTCATAGTTTTCCATAATTTTGTTAGTAGTAGGCTGTGTAGTGAAAGTAGGAGGCTGGCCTGCCGTGTACGTGTAGTCGTGTACAGAACATTATTACAGAACTGGATTGGTGTAGGCGGCCAAATGATCAAATAGCTGGTCAAATTGGCCGGCGACTGGCTCTTATGGAAAACCCTGAATTTTATAGCAGATTATAGCTGAATGTCTTATAAGCATACCCAGATTTCTTATCAGGATGGTCAAGTTTTGCATTGGTAACATATTTGCCTTTCATGTAGCCGTACGGGGTTCAATTCCCATAATGGATGGCAAGGGTAAGGTAAAGTGTTACCCAACCATATAGGTTTACACGGGTATTCTGGTTTCTGCCACGATAAGGCCTCCAGCACGCTTACATCAAGGCCAACCAGAGTGATTAGTATATGTTAAGATAACATGTTCCACAACTGTCATACAATGAATAAAGTTTACATGTGTTTTTATGTCGTCTTACCCAAAGGGGTCAAATAAGCTGAAATGAGCAGCTTCTTAATAATTACAGGGTAAGCGTCTTGATATTGGTGCCTGTAGCATGCTGGGATATAGGACTATCAAGTTTGTTAGTATACATGACCTTGACCCAATTTTAAGGTCACAGGGTCCAATATGTTAAAGTCTTTTCACAACTTCTTCACAGGTCTAATGTGTTTAAATGCATAAGCAACTTGTTTTTTAATAATCAAAGGGCAAAGGTCTTGATATTGGGCCTGTAGCATGCTTTAAGCAATATGTCCTGAGTAATGGCATTTGTGTAGTGCATGTATAAAGAATATGATTTCAAGCTTGCAGAAAATGTCTTTATGGTCTTCTATATATGCTGTAGTACAGTTGAACAATTTATTTTAGGCCTGTCGGCCTCTTTCATATATAGGTCTTTAAGAGTCATATGACTCTTAAGGTCAGTGGGCCTCGATGTTATAAGACACAACTTAGTTCCATTATTGCAACAAACCTTAGGTATATTTTCAAACACAGACATGTCTTGTTTTTTCACATTATGTAAACTGGAAGTCACATTTTACCGACAGACTTGTACAGTTGACTGATCTTATAATGTGTTAACCCATGTATTGTATGCATGGTCTTATTACAAGTCTTACTGTAATTGATTATTGATAGCGACAACTGAGATACATTTAATAAAGTAACGAGTGAGAATCTTGTTTGACAAGGTGAACAGTTATTAATATTCAGTAACAGGGAAAACAAAAACACTTATTAATTTTATTCTTGTAAAAACATCATGTTGTCATCATGAATGTTACTATTTTTAGCATCAGCTATCATGTGATAGTTGAACACCAGTTGTTTCCCTGGTATTTGTCTGGCAGACCCTAAGGCTGTAAAATCCTGTATGATACATTATTCATGCCTTAATTGATTTTCTATGCACCTGTAATCAAGATTTCCAATTATAGGGACACTTTACATCTGAGATTTTAATATAAAATTTGTTTAAAAGGAAACCCAAGATCAATCATTTGTTAATAGATATACATGCTGATTGGTAGATACATCTTTGTCCAGCCATAAAATCAATACTTATCATTAAAACCTTATCTATTTTTACAATCCATAGCACATATCTGATTATCTGGGTTTTTTTATTTGCTGTGTCTCTATTACTGTCTTTGTTATATCCCTTTCCAGTAAGTTGAGAAGAGACGACTTGTCACGTCAATCTGATTTTTCAGCCATCGTGTTCCTTTCATTGTTGTGCACCATTAGCCATTTGTAAATGTTTTACATTTTAAACTTCTTCTCAAGTTCCATTAATGGAATTAAGTCTTAAATGATAGTGAATTGGTCCTATCAATGGTAATTTCAGGTCAGTGGGAAATGCAATATGGCTGCCATGGCCATGATCTTAAAAAACACATTTTGAACTTCTTCTCAGGCTGTGTTGATGCCGTTAAGCTGGAAATTGATGAGGATGTTAAGGATGTGAGTTTAGTTGACAAAATGTTGATATTTTTTCTGCCCTGACAAAGTTGAACATGGCAGTCATGGTGGCCATTTTGTAACATGATTGTGTAGGCATTGGTGGAAAGCATGTTAGATATGTCACATGGAAGTCTTGGCATGTTAGGTATGTTACATGGAAGTCTTAGCATGTTAGATATGTCACATGGAAGTCTTAGCATTTTAGATATGTCACATGGAAGTCTTAACATGTTAGATGTGTCACATGGAAGTCTTAGCATGATAGATATGTCACATGGAAGTCTTAGCATGTTAGATATGTCACATGGAAGTCTTAGCATGTTAGATATGTCACATGGAGGTCTTGGCATGTTAGATGTGTTACATGGAAGTCTTAGCATGTTAGATATTCCACATGGAAGTCTTAACATGTTAGATATGTCACATGGAAGTCTTCGCATGTTATATGTGTCACATGGAAGTCTTAGCATGTTAGATATGTCACATGGAAGTCTTGGCATGCTAGATATATTACATGGAAGTCTTGGCATGTTAGGTATGTCACACGGAAGTCTTAGCATGTTAGATGTGTCACATGAAAGTCTTAGCATGATAGATATGTCACATGGAAGTCTTAGCATGTTAGATATGTCACATGGAAATCTTAACATGTTAGATATGTCACATGAAAGTCTTAGCATGTTAGGTATATCACACGGAAGTCTTAGCATGTTAGATGTGTCACATGGAAGTCTTAGCATGATAGATATGTCACATGGAAGTCGTAGCATGTTAGATATGTCACATGGAAGTCTTAGTATATGTGGAAAGCTTTTTAAATTTGTCCTTTGAATGTCTTAGCATTGATGGAAAGCTTTTAAATTTGTCAAAAGAGTCTGATAATGGGATCTAAGAGTTAAAAGTATTTCCTCGAAAACATACCTGATACCACTACATTAACAAAGTTTTATTGTTTCAGTTTTTATTTACTCGTGTCGTAAACTGAACTGATTTTAAAATCGTAACTTGATTTAACTTTTATTTATGTGATTTTATTAAATGAAGGATATGTTGAAAACAAAAATTAATTTGATTTAATGTTTGATAAATTAGCTACAGGAGATATAACTATTGTAAGAAAAAACCCAAAGCAACTGGAATGGCTAATTTTGGGACAGGGAAATGTGTAGTTTTGATTGGCTCTCAAGATAAACCAGGAAAACATTTATGATAATGTAATATTTGTTAATGTTACAAACAAGGCCCCTTCAGACTGTTAATATTCTGAATTTAGAACAATGAAATTTTAGTGTGTAATATTGCTAACGATAATGAATTATGATATAATAATGAATTGACTCATTCATAATACTTTCTATACTCTGCTAATTGCTGTTAATACAATACTTTCAGGGCAAAAAGTTCTGCGATAAGATTACTACTAACCTAAGTGTATTTAATGTTCCCCGTCATTTCTACTTATTTATTTGTTATAAAAGTGGGATTTGGTATGTAGATATGTATAATGGTGATGTGGTGGTCAGTTTCTGAGTTCTGATTATTTCCCGAGTTTAGATCATTAAACTGTTCGAATTTTAATCAATATTTTCTTAGAAATGGTACGATCGATATTTAGAGGCTTGCCTCATTCCAGAGGAAATTTAAAAAAAAAAAAAAAAAAATAGGAAATATTTCAGTATTTTTCTTTAACACAGACTCTTCAGGCAGAACAATTTCAATTCATGAGTTACAAGTTTACCTCTGAACAAAGTCAATAAACACAGATGAGTTCCATACTTCTACTTGGTTGTTGGTTCAAGTCACATCAACACATCTTATCGCAATTTAAATGCATGTTGACTTTGTCTGTGTTCATTTGAGTTTGAACAAAATCCACCTAATCTTCATGATTCACATTTTGACTGTTCCACATCTGATGTTTGACATTCATGTTCTGGAAGGTTTTGTTCTTACTGAATCTTAATCCTTTTAGCATTTGAAACAACAATGAAAATGCTTTAGCATTTCTAGTGCCAAAGCAGATTGACAAATGACAGTATCTGACAACACTAAACACGATTAAATTGACTTTTGAGAAAGAGCTGTAAAGGATTGATTAAAAAATACATTTTCTCTCAAAAAATAACTCAGAATCAAGCAAATATTTGTACCTGTATTTATATGTCATAAATTCCCAATTGGACTGTAACCTTGGTGATGAAAGCTGTTCTATGTAACCCAACAGTCACTATCCCACATTAATAAAAGGTTCCTTGCCATCCCTATGCTTTTGTCAGCGCTAACCTTTCCCTTTAAACAAGTCCTGAGTTTAATTTAAAGGCATGAGGTCAGGATATCTTTGCTGGTGTCTCGACTTTTGAATGGATAGTAATCTCTAAATTTTTTTTTTTTTTTTTTTGCAAACATGAATATATTGAAATAGGTAAACCACAATGAATAGAACACAGAATGAAAAATATGATTCTTCTATTGTGATGGGTATGTGTTTATATTAAGGTTGAACATTCTATTACTTCTGTCTATAGGTTGTTGCCAACACATTTGTGTTTATTTGCGCAAACATTGCGGGAATATTCACACACTATCCTACGGAAGTTGCCCAGCGCCAGGCTTTCTTGGAGACACGTAAATGTATCGAGGCCAGGCTGACAACACAGCGTGAAAACCAAGAACAGGTATGATAACTAGGATCTTTTAAAGTATAAGATTATGTTTCTCGAATCACATTTTCTTCCCCCTGCAAAATGAGAATGGGATGGATCTGCTGAATATGGGAACAGGTGATGTTGCAAAATAGGGAGGATGACGTAAGTTATGAAATAAAGGATTGGTTGACATTTCAAAATAAGGTGGGTGGAGCTGTGAAGTAAGGGGGAAGTGACATTCCAAAATGAGGTGGAGAGTGGAGCTGCTTAGTAAAGGAACAGGTGATGTTGCAAAATAGGAAAAAAGGATGAATTTATGAAATAAAGGATTGGTTGACATTTCAAAATAATTTGGGTGGATCTTTGCATTATGGGGGTAGATGGAGCTACAGTATGAGGAGCCAAGTTGAGTTGAAAAGTAATGGGGACTGGTGGGGCTGTGGAGGGGTAGGGTGCCACTGTTAAATAATGGGGCATGTGGAGCTGTAGAGGGGTAGGGTGCCACTGTAAAGTAACAGGGCATGTGGAGCTGTGGAGGGGTAGGGTGCCACTGTAAAGTAACAGGGCAGGTGGAGCTGCGGAGGGGTAGGATGCCACTGGTAAGTAATGGGGCATGTGGAGCTGTGGAGGGGTAGGATGCCACATTAAAGTAATGGGGCATGTTGAGCTGTGAAGGGGTTGGATGCCACTGTAAAGTAATAGGGCATGTGGAGCTGTGAAGGGGTAGGATGCCACTGTTAAGAAATGGGGCATGTGGAGCTGTGGAGGGGTAGGATGCCACTTTAAAGTAACAGGGCAGGTGGAGCTGTGAAGGGGTGGTATGCCACTGTAAAGTAACAGATGATGCCGAAATAAGGATATGAAGGAACATAAACACATAAGACACAATTGTTTGTGAGCTTTATTGCCCCATTGACAGCCAGGGTCATTTTGAGGCCAGTCTCCTTGTAGTGGCTTATGGTTACTTCTCTGAACAACGTACAAGGTATCAATCAAATACCGTCCAAAAGAATATGGGGGTAGAGTGTCTTTCTCAAAGACACAATCAAAACAGCACAGACTTGTTAATTCCTCAGCTTCCTGAGAAACACAGTAAGATTAGATAGGGCAATGCTTCACAGACTGTGTTATCACAGGCCTTTTTATAATCATTTAATTAATAGGCTATCGATGATATCTGTATTTCAATATATCACTATTTATATATCCTTCATAGGAACGACTTCTACTGTCAGTTTTGCCCCGCCACGTTGCCATGGAAATGAAAGCAGATATTGCAGGGAAACCAAAGGATACCATGTTCCATAAAATCTATATCCAGCGCCATGAGAATGTAAGGTAAAGTACATCTTTTTTTTTAGATTTTAATTCACTGCATCAACACATAAGAAGGTTGATGAAAAACAAATCTGAGGTAGATTTCATGTTGGGAGTTACACATGAACATGGCTTCAAGATTAATTTTTGGTTATGGTAGCATAAAATGAAATTTCAGGCTGTGAGTTTTATTTTCCAAAATGCTTCTTGCTTCGGCGATAGATCATGCCTTCATTACATCAGTTTTTGTCTTAAATTGGAGAGAAACTAAAAATGTCACCCTGTGGACTTGTGCCATTTATTGATTAATAATGTTTTAAGTGGTTTTTGATGTCTTTAAATTCCTTAATTATTTAAGTTATGGATTTACAAATTGGATGTAAAGCTAAAAACCTACAAAAAGTTGTTTAATGGCTAGTTATATCCTTGTTATAAACACTTGTGATGTATTTTGGGTAATGACACTGGTAATATGTAGACTCCAGTTTCCTTCAGGTAATGTTGTATATTCCATTGTATCATAATCATAGGCATCTGACTATTGACTTATGTATGAATTTATATATGGAAATCTGATAGATTATGAGCACAATTCTGTCTTTTATGATATCTTGTATTGACAAATTTTTGGAGGCTCCTGATTGGTCAGAATAAGCACCCAAGGGGAGTCTTTGTTGATACCTAGAAATGAGAGCTCCTTCTCAATCAATACATCTGTAGTGTCCTATTTATCACAAATAGTGCTGTCATTATCACAGCTATATGAGACAGATAGGTAAACTTTGGAAACACAATTTCATACATTTGTGCTGGTTTCTGTGGCTGTTTTTTTTATCTCCAAAACTGGAGAACTGTATCCAATTAATTGTTGCTAGGTACCAATGTCATGTCAACAGGCTAGGTAGAGCATCTGTGTTGAAAGGCTAGGTAGAGCGTTCATGTTGACAGGCTTGGTAGAGCATCCGTGTTGGCAGGCTAGGTAGAAAGTCCGTGTTGAGTATTAATTGACACAGAAATTCAGAAAGAACAGATTTCCCCCTGAAATGACTTTAGTTATCATGTAAGCTTAAGCATCACAGGAAACCATGTTTACAGTCAATCTCATCGGTAGGTATTTCAGACAGTAGTATGTAGTGGAAATAGTCTGAAGCAGGAAAATATTTCTTACCAAGAAAATTTTAAAGAATAATTTGAAGCATGCAAGATTAAGAATAATCTCAGACACACAAGATAAAGAATAATCTCAGACACACAAGATAAAGAATAATCTCAGACACACAAGATAAAGAATAATCTCAGACACACAAGATAAAGAATAATCTCAGACACACAAGATAAAGAATAATCTCAGACACACAAGATAAAGAATAATCTCAGACACACAAGATAAAGAATAATCTCAGACATACTAAATAAAGAATAATCTCAGACACATAAGATAAAGAATAATCTCACACACACATGATAAAGAATAATCTCAGACACACAAGATAAAGAATAATCTCAGACACACAAGATAAAGAATAATCTCAGACACACAAGATAAAGAATAATCTCAGACACACAAGATGAAGAATAATCTCAGACACACAAGATAAAGAATAATCTCAGACACACAAGATAAAGAATAATCTCAGACACACACAAGATAAAGAATAATCTCAGACACACAAGATAAAGAATAATCTCAGACACACAAGATAAAGAATAATCTCAGACACACAAGATAAAGAATAATCTCAGACACACAAGATAAAGAATAATCTCAGACACACAAGATAAAGAATAATCTCAGACACACAAGATAAAGAATAATCTCAGACACACAAGATAAAGAATAATCTCAGACACACAAGATAAAGAATAATCTCAGACACACAAGATAAAGAATAATATCAGACACACAAGATAAAGAATAATCTCAGACACACAAGATAAAGAATAATCTCAGACACACAAGATAAAGAATAATCTCAGACACACAAGATAAAGAATAATCTCAGACACACAAGATAAAGAATAATCTCAGACACACAAGATAAAGAATAATCTCAGACACACAAGATAAAGAATAATCTCAGACACACAAGATAAAGAATAATCTCAGACACACAAGATAAAGAATAATCTCAGACACACAAGATAAAGAATAATCTCAGACACACAAGATAAAGAATCTCAGACACACAAGATAAAGAATAATCTCAGACACACAAGATAAAGAATAATCTCAAACACACAAGATAAAGAATAATCTCAGACACACAAGATAAAGAATAATCTCAGACACACAAGATAAAGAATAATCTCAGACACACAAGATAAAGAATAATCTCAGACACACAAGATAAAGAATAATCTCAGACACACAAGATAAAGAATAATCTCAGACACACAAGATAAAGAATAATCTCAGACACACAAGATAAAGAATAATCTCAGACACACAAGATAAAGAATAATCTCACACACACAAGATAAAGAATAATCTCAGACACACAAGATCAAGAATAATATCAGACACACAAGATAAAGAAAATCTCAGACACACAAGATAAAGAATAATCTCAGACATACTAAATAAAGAATAATCTCAGACACACAAGATAAAGAATAATCTCAGACACACAAGATAAAGAATAATCTCACACACAAGATAAAGAATAATCTCACACACACATGATAAAGAATAATCTCACACACACATGATAAAGAATAATCTCAGACACACAAGATAAAGAATAATCTCAGACACAAAATGAAGAATAATCTCAGACACACAAGATAAAGAATAATCTCAGACACACAAGATAAAGAATAATCTCAGACACACAAGATAAAGAATAATCTCAGACACACAAAATAAAGAATAATCTCAGACACACATGATAAAGAATAATCTCAGACACAAAATGAAGAATAATCTCAGACACACAAGATAAAGAATAATCTCAGACACACAACATAAAGAAAATCTCAGACACACAAGATAAAGAATAATCTCAGACACACATCTCAGACACACAAGATAAAGAATAATCTCAGACACACAAGATAAAGAATAATCTCAGACACACAAGATAAAGAATAATCTCAGACACAAAATAAAGAATAATCTAAGACACACAAGATAAAGAATAATCTCAAACACACAAGATAAAGAATAATCTCAAACACACAAGATAAAGAATAATCTCAAACACACAAGATAAAGAATAATCTCAGACACACAAGATAAAGAATAATCTCAGACACACAAGATAAAGAATAATCTCAGACACAGACACACAAGATAAAGAATAATCTCAGACACACAAGATAAAGAATAATCTCAGACACACAAGATAAAGAATAATCTCAGACACACAAGATAAAGAATAATCTCAGACACACAAGATAAAGAATAATCTCAGACACACAAGATAAAGAATAATCTCAGACACACAAGATAAAGAATAATCTCAGACACACAAGATAAAGAATAATCTCAGACACACAAGATAAAGAATAATCTCAGACACACACACAAGATAAAGAATAATCTCAGACACACAAGATAAAGAATAATCTCAGACACACAAGATAAAGAATAATCTCAGACACACAAGATAAAGAATAATCTCAGACACAAAATGAAGAATAATCTCAGACACACAAGATAAAGAATAATCTCAGACACACAAGATAAAGAATAATCTCGGACACACAAGATTAAGAATAATCTCACACACACATGATAAAGAATAATCTCAGACACACAAGATAAAGAATAATCTCAGACACACAAGATAAAGAATAATCTCACACACACATGATAAAGAATAATCTCAGACACACAAGATAAAGAATAATCTCAGACATACTAAATAAAGAATAATCTCAGACACACAAGATAAAGAATAATCTCAGACACACAAGATAAAGAATAATCTCAGACACACAAGATAAAGAATAATCTCAGACACACAAGATAAAGAATAATCTCAGACACACAAGATAAAGAAAATCTCAGACACACAAGATAAAGAATAATCTCAGACACATAAGATAAAGAATAATTTCAGACACACAAGATAAAGAATAATCTCAGACACACAAGATAAAGAATAATCTCAGACACAAAATGAAGAATAATCTCAGACACACAAGATAAAGAATAATCTCAAACACACAAGATAAAGAATAATATCAGACACACATGCTAATGCTAGAACAACGTGAAATCTGCCATTTCTCAACCATCGATGAACAAGGAAGTGTTTTAAAAGTAATAATAGTATAATTAACATCTATTTTTGCAATACTCCAAACAGGCATGACTTTGTCTACCAGAGATATATGTCTGTGACTTTACCAATCACTAGTTTCCTGGCTTGTTTTTAAACACTTAGTTGTGATTTTAGACAATGTCAACTCTGACAGTTCTAACACTGATTTATTTTCAAAAGCAATATCTATTTACTTTTGTTCAGACTGCCTATAGATTTACCGTTCAGCCTTGTGTGATGTGATAAGATTGTTCTAATCCCATTTATACTTCTACATACTTGTCAATATTTTGGATTTTCAATGGTGAAGATTAATTTTTTTCTTAATCTTTGAAAACCATATCATATCTTTTATGAACTCCCTACACATGGAGAAAGATTACTAATTTGGCAAACCAAACACCGGACTTCATTCTTATAATGCTCACTTGAGCGTTGAGATCCCAGGCAAAATTCACAAATGACCTGTTACTTTTTTCTAACGATGAAGACAATTCTCAAAGCCCCTCCCCCACCCCCCTACCTGTAATGAAATTAGTGGGTAGGAACCAGGTTGTATCTGTCTGTATACAGAATCTTTTCCTGACAACTGCTGACCTACCTCAGGTCCAGGTCTATCTCCTGGTTCATCCTACCTCGTCCCATTCACTCTCCACTCAACCTTTATAAAAGAATTCTTAGCAGTGGGTTGTACAGTCAAAACCTTTCCTTCTGTATAAAAGAATTCTTCACAGTGGGTTGTATGAATAACAC